TTATGAAATAAATATATTCGAATCTAACATACAGACTTTGAATCTTATCAAGCTACAAATGACTTCGACACCTCACAACTAATATTCAAATCCAACAGTTTGGGTTTGAACCCCAAGTGGGGGAGAACTAGTTATTCATGGTGAGGGTGCTCAGCATGGACCAACTATTTGTTCAGATGCAAGAGTTAGGAGATATCTTTAGCAAGGTTATTCGGGTTTTGTGGCTTATGTATTGGACACCAGGATGGAGAGAAAGATGGATGACTGAGGAAGTGTCATTCATTCGAGAGTATGTAGATTTATTCTCCAAGGACTATCCTAGAATGCCTACAGAGAGGTAGGTGGAGTTATATATTGATTTGGTACTAGGTACGACTCTGATACCCAAGGGACCCTATCGATTAGCACCACCGAAGATGCAGGACTTTTCTACACAGTTGCAGGAGCTATTAGAGAAGGGGTTTATCAGACTGTGTATTTGACCCTGGGGAGCGTTGATTTTGTTTATGAAGAAGAAGGACGGCTCCCACAGGATGTGCATCGATTATTGGGAGCTGAACAAGCTAACAGTAAAGAAACGTTATCTGCTTTTGTGGATTAATGATTTGTTCGACTAGTTACTGGGTGTGTCTTGGTTCTCCAAGATCGATCTGCGTTCAAGCTACCAACATATGAAAGTCAGAGATGAGGATGTCTAGAAAACTACTTTTAGGAATCATTATGGTCATTACGAGTCCATGTGATACCTTTTAGGCTCTTCAATTCGCTAGTTGTATTCATGGATATCATGAACCGCATGTGTAGACCGATGCTAAATCGGTATGTCATTGTATTTATTGATGATATCTTGGTGTATTCTAAGAACAAGGAGCAACATGAGGATCATCTGTGAGAGTTCTGGAGACTCTGAGGAGGGAGAGTCTATATTCCAAGTTCTTCAAGTGCGAGTTTTGGTTGCACGAAGTGCAGTTTTTTGGGAATATTATCAATATTTAAGGGATATTGGTTGATCTAGCTAAGATCGAGGCCGTGATGCAATGTGAGGTTCCGAAGTCTCCATCTGAGATTCAGAGTTTCTTGGGTTTAGAAGGGTATTATCGGATGTTCATCGAGAATTTCTCCAGGATTGCAGTTTTGTTGGCTATGTTGATGAAGAAGACAAATTCTTTCTGTTGGGGGCCTGAGCAACAGGTGACATTTAAGACTTTGTGACAGAGGTTGTGTGAGGCTCTAATTTTGACTCTGCCAGAGGGTGTGGATGATTTCATGGTATATTATGATGCATCAATCACTGGGCTGAGTGCGGTGTTGATGCAGAGGGGTCATTTGATAGCTTATGCTTCGAGCTAAATGAAGCCTGATGGAGTAAATTATCCCACTCATGATTTGGAGTTGGGGGATATGGTTTTCACCCTCAAGATTTGGCGGCATTACCTCTATGAGGCCCGTTGTACCATCTACATGGATCGCAAGAGCTTGATGTACTTGATGGATCAGCCAAATCTAAATATGAGCCAACGCAGGTGGTTGGATCTAGGGAAGGATTATGACTGTGAGATTTTATACCACCCTGGAAAGGCCAATGTGGTGGCCGATGCACTAAGTCGCAAGGTGATCAACTCACCTATCTGAGATTTATGTTTTAGTATGACAGTGATTACTCCACTTTTGGAGTTGAGTTGTGGAGCCCAGGTTAAGGCTATAAAAGAGGAGCACGGGAAGAGTGAACGCACAATGGGTCAGGTGCCCTTTTTTATTATATGATAGTCGGGTATTGCTGACCTTTAATCGGAGAGTTTGGGTTCCATGTCTGGGAGGTGCTCGTCAGATCTTGATGGAGGAGACGCACAACTCAAGATTTTTTATTATCTAGGTGTGACAAAAATGTACAGAGACCTCCGTACCATTTATTTGTGGCCCTACATGAAGCGGTATGTGGCTTGGTACATGGAGAGGTGCTTGACTTACAGGAAAATCAAAGCCGAACATCAACGACCTCTTGGAAAAATGGAGCCGCTGTGTATTCCTGTTTGGAAATGAGAAGAGATCATGATGGACTTCATTATGAAGTTGCCATAGAATGTGCAGGGGGTGGATTCAATTTGGGTTATCTTGGATCAAGTGACCAAAAGTGCGTATTTTATTCCCATTGAGGAGATCATCTATGTGGAGAAGTTAGAAGATGTTTATATCAGAGAGGTTGTGGCATGGCATGGGGTTCCACTGTTAGTGGTCTGGGACCACGATGTACGCTTCACTTCCAGATTTTGGAAGACATTTCATGAGGAGTTGGGTACTCGTCTACACTTCAGCACATCTTTTCATTTGCAGACCGATGGTCAGAATGAGCGAACTATCCAGACTTTGGATGATATGCTTTGGCCATGTTTGCTGGATTTCAGCGGTAGTTGGGATACATATCTCCCATTGGCTGAGTTTTCTTACAATAACAACTATCACGCCCATATTGATCGACCTAATTTTGAGATGCTATACAAGAAGAAGTGTCAGACCCTGATTTGTTGGGGCGAGGTCGGTTAGCGGGAGATTGTAGACCGTGCAAAGTCGGAAGAAGAGCTATACAGATAGGTGCTAATCCGATTTGGAGTTTCAGGTCAAAGATATGGTACTCCTAAACGTGTCACCTTGGAAAGATGTCATTTGGTTTAGGAAGCGGGGCAAGCTGGACCCCATATATATCGTTCCTTTCAGGGTTATTGCTCGGGTCGGTAGGGTTGCATATCGTTTGGAGCTGCCCAAAGAACTCAGTCAGATCCACAACACTTTTCACGTCTCTCAACTGTGGAAGTATTTAGTTGATGATTCCGAAATGGTGCCTTTAGAGGACATTCAGGTGGACGAGCGCCTGAATTGCATAGAGATACTGTAACTCCCAAAAATACAGTCTGAAATTTTCGTTTTAAATTAGTAATAAAGCCATATTCATCAAGCGTCATATAAGAATCATAAATAATGTATCTCAAAATATCTTAACAACTGTCAAATATATCAGAGTATAAACATCCAAGGGTGAACAAATGGTGTGTGCACTGCAATCTTCCTGAGCTCCTCTTTTGAAAACTGAGTACCTGAAACCAAAACTGAAACTGTAAGCACGAAGCTTAGTGAGCTCCCCCAAACTACCACATACCATACAATAACATGTAAACACATACTGGGCCTTGCCCACTACATTGGACCGAAGTCTGGAAACTGCATCGGGCCGAAGTCCGGAACTAACTAGGGCATTGCCCTCTGCATCAGACAGAAGTCCAGAAACTACATCAGACCGAAGTTCAGAACTGACTGGGACCTTGTCCCCTGCATCAGACCGAAGTCCGGAACTAACTGCATCGGACCGAAGTACGAAAACTGACTGAGCATAACATAGCATGGCATACACATATTAACTAGCAAGAACACATAAACTGCATACTGCATCGGGCTGTAGCCCAGAACACATAACACATGAATCCTATCTGAGCCACGAAGGCATCAAACATACTAAAAACTGCATCGGACCGAAATTCGGAAACTACTACTAGCTAAACGGGTCGGCATTATGGCCTTAGACCCATTCCTACTAGAAGGAAACTCACCTCACACTGCTGAAGTCCCGTAGACACAATCCTACATTGCTGAAGTCCCGCAGACTCAACCTTAGCCGCTGGATGACAGATTCCCGAACTGTCAACACCAAAATAACACTCAATTAATAATTGGGTTCTAACACATAACTATATATACATACTTTAGGTAATTACTACATTACCCCAATCTTGGCTTACCCAAGCCCAAGGTCCAATCCATAGGCCCAAAGTCAACTAGGGATCAAAGCCCAACATATGGCCCAATTTTCCAAATTGGGCCCAAACCTCCACATGGATTTCCCTTAAGGCCCAATTGCTCAGTCCGGTCCAACATGTCTCATTCTAAGGGCCCAATATCGTACAACCATTTAGGCCCAAACTATGGCCCATCTATGGCCCAATTTTCCAAATTGGGCCCAATCCTTCATATGGGCCTTACTCTAGAGTCCAACTAATTACTCTAGTCCATTTAATTATTCTTGGATGGCCCAACTCAAAGCCCAAGAGAAATTAGGGTTTCTCATAAAATAATAATTAGGGTTAAGTGTTTCTCACTTAACCCTTCTTAACCCTTTAAGGGCTTAACCCACTAAGGACTTAATCTATTAAGTCCATTATTGCTTAGATTAATTTCTACCAAAGATTATTATTTAATATTTCACTTATTAAATAATTACCGTGTGTGTGTCCTGATAGTTTCTCAAATATTAGTATTTTCTCAATTATCCCATTAAGAACTTAGTCCATTAAGTCCTTTATTCCACTAGATAAATGGCATGAAATAGTTTGGGCTTGATTCCCAATCCAATCCCAATGGCCCAAAAGTGGGTCCAAATAAGTTCAAGGCCCAAATACTCCTAATTAGTGTTTTCCACCCAAACATGGCCCAAAACCAATCTCTAAGCCCATTAGGGTTTGCTAGCGGGATACCACCCACTACCGCCTCGGGTAGTGGTGGTCAATGGCGGCTCACGGCGGCGGCTACCACCCTAAGGTGGTGGTTTTCCATTTCTTTTCATTAATCTTCTGGAAATTACAATTACAATGCTTTATACACACACACACACACAAACTAACTAACACACACTTACACACACAAACTAACTAACACACACACACAACCACCCTAGTGGTGGCCAACGGTGGTACAAGGCGGCAACCACCACCTCACAGTGGTGGCGGCAGCTTTTCCATGAACCTCGGCTAAACAAAACACACATACAATCTCCTAACAATCAGAAACAGTAATAACACATGAACACACACCCATAAATACACCCACATCCACCTCTCACGGTGGCTAGTGGCGGCGGAATAAGGCAGAAATGGTAGCCATGGCAGAGACAGCGAGATAGCGACCACACACACACCCCTCTCTAGATCCGGAGGCAACCACCCACCTGGTGGCACTCATTGAACGACAGCAACGTCGCTAATGACCGACGGAAGTGGCGGCGCAACAACGGGATAAGATGGCAATCGGGAAGGCAACAACGACTCGGAAGGGAAAAGCAATAGCGCTACGACGGTTCTTACGGCGGCTGGGGCATCGACACAACACAGTAGTCCTTCGAGATGGAAAATCACTGACCGGAGCAATGGAAACAAGTCCTCTGGCGATGACAGTGACAATGTAACAGTAGTGATGGCAGGAAACTCGACGACACAGCGAAGGATGGTCTCGGAAGAGGGAAACACAACGGTAACCTCGACACCGACCTCAGTCTCGTCATCGGAGTCGCATGGAGTCACCGACGATCCTACTATGGCCTCACAGAGGCAGTTGCTGGGATGAGGAGGGGGTGGGGAATAAGGTGAGGTGGCGGCTGCATAGGGGGTTTAAGGTTAGGGTTTGGCGTTACAGATACCCTTGACTTTTAAAATTCTTCACCAATTTGCCCTGGACTTACCTTTATTAATTTATTTAAATAAACGGGGCGTTACAGATACCAGTAGCGATCCTCGACAGAAAGACCAAATCCCTAAGAAATAAGGTGGTGAAACTGGTGAAGGTGCAATGATAACATCGGAAAGGCTCAAAGTGGATTTGGGAACCTGAGGAGGGAATGAAGGAGGACTACCCACAACTATTCGCAACAACGGGTTTTAACATCCGATTTTGAGGTATGCTTTATCTTTTAATTTAAAATTGGACTTTGGGTGTCTCCATGAAGTGGGGAAGGATAACCATGACGTGAAGAGGCATTTTTTGTCGCGGGTCTCTTTTGGCTCACCACGATGTGGGAAGGAAGGCCACGGTGTGGCCACCGCTAATGTCTTAAACCCTAATTTTCGGGAATTGCACTCTATTCAAAGGAATGAGGAGGGTAGGGTTTGTTCACCTTCAGCCTCCACCACCCTCTTTTACTCAAAAGAAACTGTAATTCCTTTTCCTCTATTGTTGAAGGTTTATTGAGTGCTTTTGAGAGATATTGAAGGAAGAAGCAAGAAAGTGTAAGCCAATGATCAACAAGAAAGTCCCTACCACCCTTCCTAGCTCAATTTTGGACCTTTATAAAGCCCCCCCCCCCCTTTTTTTTTATAATAAGTTGCTAGATCTTGGATTATGTCCTTTTTTCTTTATAATCTAGTTAGTTGGGATGGTAAGATTTTATAAAGGTTGCTTTATGAATCTTTGGATCAGATGGAGTAGTTCATGGTTTAGATCTGAAGCTTGGTTAGTTATTTGAGCCATGCATAAGTTTTTGGCCATAAAACCCTATTTTGACCTAAGTTGAGTCCAAGATATGCATTGGACATGCATGTATAAAAATCACCAATCTTTAAGTTTGTTTTAGTGTTATAAGCACTTTAGGAGCAAATGGGTTTGACACTTAAGGGATTAAGTGCTTCTTGGTTGAGCCCATGTAATGGTTGCTCTTTATAGATCTAAGATTTGAGATCTAGACCCCTTTGGTGAGTTTCAAGGGATAACGTAGGACACTTTATCAATTTAGACAATAATAATGATCAGATTTGGACTTTGGAACCTCTGCGACTGGAGGATTCGGCTTAACCCATCAAGACACTTTGAACCCAATACACATGAAGTGGCCTAGGTTGCCATGGTATGGAGACTGGGGAAATCACGTATATTTTGTCGTTTGAGGGCCATGATGTGGCCAAGGATGGCCAAGACGTGGCGAGTCAACTTTGACCGTTGACTTTGACTTTTGACTTGTGTTGACTTTTGGTCAAACCCCTAGTTTTGGAAGGAAATGTAACGCTGTACTTTATATGGTTGTATAGGTAGTTGATAGCATCTGTATTCGCGGTAGTAGGAGCAATAGCGGTTGATTATCGTTTGTTAGGTGAATCTATTCACTGTACTCATGGGTCGAAGGCACAAATGCCGACCCATTGGATTACGTTTGTAGGATGATAGTTTTCTTTGTGACACTTGCTGATATGCCCGTATTTGCTTGTTGTCTTTGTGACTCTTGCTGATATGATTGTATGCTTAGCAGTAAGGATGAAATAGACCCGGTACCAAAAGATACCGAAGGAGGGTGAAATAGACCCAGTACCTGTTGAAAGATACCGAGGGGGGGGGGAGAGAGACCAAGTATCAGTTGAAAGATACCAAAGGGGTTAAAATAGACCCAATACCGGTTGAAAGATACCAAAGGGGGTGAAATAGACCCAATTTAGTTTCGAAATGTTATGTATGTTTGGTGTGTGCTATTTCTGGGAAACTCACTAAGCTTTGTTCTTATAGTCTTATGTTTATGATTTCAGGTACTTCTGGCTCGAAAGGGAAGGTCCCAACATGATCACACCGCGTCCACCAACATTCCGTGTTTTATGACATGATCTGTACTATGATAATTATTTTATACATTATAACATTTTGATGGATTTTAGAATGAATGAATGATGATTCTGTTAATTTAAAAATAAAATTTTTACATAGTAATTTTTGGGGCGTTACAATGACTATTTAGATACCATTTCCATGCAGATCCTATAAGGTTCAAACCAAAATCTTTATATACATGCTTCCTTGAGATGTAGAGGGATAGGAAAATTTACATATATTCCATAGATTGGTTCATATGTTCCTCATGATCTGTGGTTCTATCATACTTCTTCAGATTTGGTGTTTAAAACCATTTTGGAACTTTGGTGTCACATATTAGAGGAGAAATTTTGATACCTTGAGACTGATGGGAAATGCTTAGGGAATAGGTTAGATTACTCCTAAAACACTTAAGATTATATCTTTTAATTGTCATAAGTTCTTTTTCCATGACATGGCTCATTCCAAGATCTTGGCTATTTAAAGGAATCTTGAAGATTCATCAAATATTTTGGGAAGCATGAGCTCTTGTGCTAGGAGTAGCACCATTTACTATAATCAGGGTTTTCATGATATGATGTCCCCGATATGATGTTCTCAAGATGCTCTAGTTTCAAAGTTCAAGATTGTGGGTTGGAAGGATGAATGTGGAGTTGGTGTAGTTCTTATTGTATTTGAACTTAATTTCTCTATTTTTTAAATGGCATATTGTTAGTTTCAATTTCTTTATATATGTGTTACTCCATTCTAAACATCATATACATGATCTCGGTGTTGGAGGTCAAGTGGTGATCCTTGTGTCGTCGCACTTTCTTGATTAAAGGGCGGACTACTTGAAGTGGTAAAGGTAGTTTTCTTACAGCATCAAGATTTTTCTTCAAATGGTTAATAGCATGTAGAAGAGCAAGGTTCAAAGTAACAAATATAGAGGGAGTAGTATTAGATGTGGATTTTGTCAAGGACGACATGTTTTTTATGTAAAAGTTTGAATGATTGAAAATTGATTTTTTTGGAATACTTAAAAAGAAATTACTTGTAAATAATAACACCACTTGTCCTACAAATGATGCCAAATTATTTTGGTCAAAAATCAACTTAATTTCTTTGTAACCAAATTAATAAGCATGATGTGATGTTTCTTATGGAGATTTTAAGAAAATAAATTGTATACTACTGAAGATGTTAAAAGATGCTGAAAATCTTGAATGTGGTCAAGATCTTGAAAATAGGGAAAATGCCATAAAAACCCTTAAGTTTTCAAAATTTTGTCGGTTTTACCCTTAATGATTTTTTATGTCAATTAAAGCCTCATATTTTTCACTAACTTTTTCATTTAAAACTCTTAACAGGTTTGCTTATAACAGTCGGTTACCATGGCAACCTGAATGCTACGTGTCTTCATTACACTAGAGTACTAGACCCACATCTCCTTCCTTTATAAGCCTTCATCATCTTTTAGGAAAACATCACGCCAAACATCTTTCTTTCTCTCAACATTCACAAACAAACGCAACCCATTTCAAACCCTTTAAAATCACAACCCTCCCCTTCAGTTGAATCTAGGCGTTGAATCAACTACGTTTTATACATCTTCAGTGTGTATTTTGTGGACCTCTATCTATATTTGCAAATGTGTCAAAAAATTAAAGGTCAATAAGTAGTATATTCAAAATTAAAGAAATCGTTAGCAACCATTTTGTGTTCTGCAAGAACTCGTAGAGGTGCTTTGTCAAACTTGATTTTAGATGAAGAACTAAATAAATCGATATGCAGACCCGACAATCATCAACAATAATTTAGATGAAGAAGGAGGTGGTACCTGGTACATTTCACAACAAGAGTAATTTTGTTTCCAGAGATATGTACAATCGACGACAGGGGATGTTTCTTCTCCGGTGACACCTCTATCTCCATTAATGGGACATCAATGGCAAATCTTACAGCCTTCTTCTTCATAACCTAACATCACAATCCCTTTCTCTACGTATATCCAATATGTGTGGTATCTCCTCCCATGTTTGATTTTAACAAGGAAAACACACAAAGACATATAAATACACAATAAACAGAGAAAAAAGAAAGCATTGTTTGTGACGGTTTGTGTGTTATTACAAATCCGATTAATAGCCCTAGCCAAGTTTATCAGGTTCGGTGAAGAAAGGGGCATCGAAGAAGAAACTGATGGCGGCGTCAGTCGTTGTGATTTTGGAACGATCGAAAGAAAAACAAAAACATGCACATACACTGTGTGCAACGCTCGATCTGGAGAAGTACTAGGAGCCAATGATCAATCCAAACCAAATCAAAAGAAACAATTGATCCCTATCTTTCAAATTTTCCCGTTGATCAACTGTGTATGCAGTGTGTGTAGGTGCTTGATTACATGCATGCTGCGACTTTTGTTGTTGCTTTTCAGTTTAAATGATAACGGGGGTATTGGGGGAGTTAAGGCGACGTAACATACACTTTGAAAATGGTAACTGGCTAGCCTATTAGAAACCTGATAAAAGTTAATTATGGCAAAACTTATTCAAATGTTAGGCTTTTTTTGACATTAAAAATCACCAGGGTAAAACCGATAAAATTTTTAAAACTTGAGGGTTTTTATGACATTTCCCCTTGAAAATAAAACATAAATGTTGATATTTATCGTATTGTTTTTATATGTAAAAAATATCCAAAATCTCAATTGTATTTAAGATATAGATAAGTGTATGTTTATTTAAAGAGATAAAAAATAATATGAAGGCTATAAATATGTTAAATATACCAAAAAGTCTTAAGATGTTTAATATGTTGAATACTTGCAAAGATATTAAAAATGTTTTTAACATGTAGAGAAAGTATTAGAAAAGCATATAAGTATGTGTATTTAATAAATACATATTCAAAGTTAAAATAAAGAAACGTTAATGTAAATAATAATGCAAGAACATGATATATAAAAGGAAACCCAGGGCCGGCCCAAGGGCAGGGCGAGCTGGGCCACAGCCTAGGGCATCACATTAATAGGGGCATAAGATTTGGTCCACTTATTATAAGTCTAATATCGGTTTGACCCAAAGTTTGATCCACCAAGTCCAAAGAAGTCTGGTAGTAATAAGAAAACAAGCACACAACGCTAATTTCAAACATCAGAAGACGAGGAGACGATCCTACTTCACGCCAGTTAAGGAAACGAGGAGACATGACTATTTTAAGCAATCAGATTGTCATTACCCCTCATACTTGCTATCATCGATGTATTTAAAGGACTTCTGCTGGTTTTTGTTGGACAATTTTGCCCATAGTTGCATTGATCTCTTTAATTTGGAAGTTTGAAGTTTGGGATATTTGATCTTTTTTCCCTTCATTACTCCTGGTCTACTTTCGCTTCTTTGTTGGTGGTGCTGTTGCCTTCTTTTTTTTTTTTTTTGTTGGAATGACAAAGGTTTTTTTAAGATCTTTTTCCACTTGATAATCTTGTATTTTATATGAATGCTGCTGGGAAATTTCCTTGAAAAAATGACTTATTTTGCCCCTTAATGATTTCAGATTTCTAACGAGGTTCCTATAAGTTCTTGTGCTTTGCAGAAGTGGTAAATCTGGAGTTTTGACCATTATACCCTTGGTCCGTTGAAGATTTGACTACCTAACCTGCTACACTTGTTACCTGTCAAATTGATGTTCTCTATTTGGTATTTTAATGTTTCTATGTATTTTGATATTTTGGGTAATTGATATGCTATCCTTTAAACTTGAAACTTGAAGATATTTTAAGTAATTGATAGGGATAATGACTTGAAAGGGTAACGAACTTTCGACTTTTGTCACATTTAGTCACTAAACTTTTTTTCGTTATCTATTTGCCATTGAACTATTGAATCTGTTCACATTTTACCCTTATGACCGGCTGTTGCCGGTCATAAGGGTAAAATGTGAACAGTTTCAATAGTTCAATGGCAAATAGATAACGAAAAAAAGTTTAGTGACTAAATGTGACAAAAGTCGAAAGTTCGTTACCCTCTAAAAAGTTAAATGACTAAATGTGAACAAACTTCCTCTTGTATTATGTTTTAGCAAATTATTTATTTTTATTAAATTGTAGCAACATTTGTTGATGAAGAAATCTATGAAATAGAAAAAAAAAAAAACACACAAAACACAAAACAAAACAAAACCCTGAAAATATATTTAAAAAAAACAAAAAACCAAAACCGAAATACAAAACCAATGGTTTGACATTTTCCAAAATAAAAAATCAAAATTTCCAATCTGATTTTGGTTTTACAAAAAAAATGAACCATTCTCACTGATGTGAATTATGACCATTGGTTTGGCATTCGAAATTTGTGACATCCCATGAATATGTAGTTACAACATCGTCTGAACTCGTAATTCATAGTAAGGGGTTAGAGTATCATCGCATGAATACATAGTTACAACATCGCTTGAACTCGTAATTCATCACCTACAGGTTATGGGCATGCTGGTGTTTCCACTGTGTTGTCTAGAATAGTCCGTGATCGCCATCTATACTTTGGTAGATGACTACATCGCCACATTGCTGGTTAAGGTTATGGTATCTCCTTTCATCCTACATCACATATTCATCATCATCTATATACCTAATTATCATCACCTTTCTATCATCACATATATCTAATCATTTTATTTCATCACACACCAACTATTTCATCTACCCATGTTTCATCCGCAACATATTTGTAGATATAAAATAAATATACCGTTTAAATCTTTTAAAACATGTATAAAATCGTTCATCCAGCATGGACAACAAGTATTCAAATAATATGCGCACATAACACGTAATTTATATAAAATACTTCATATCTATGTGTAAGATGAAAGTAACTATATCTACCATAAAAATCCCATAAATGCTTCCTAACTTCGAACCCCAAGGTTTACTCTACTAAAGCTTCATATTCTTGGCTCTCTGAACCTAGAAGGGTCCAGATCTATCACACCAAAAAGCTCAAGATAGCTCTTCCTCTCACTCTACACACTCAAGCTCGCTAGGGTTCTCACTTATGGGAAATGTAGTGGCAATTGAAGGCCATACGTGCCTTTAAATATGGCTCGGGCCCAAAGATTTAGGGTTTCTGCCAACAGCGCAGACTCGTCGAGTCGCCTCACCGACTTGTCGAGTCCATTCATTAATCTGAGTCATCAGTCGCGACCTTACTCGACGAGTTGAGGCGTCAACTCGCCAAGTCTCTCTTCTTAACTAAAAAGAAAAATACTTAAATTATGATACTTGGAAATCCGGATGTTGCATTTTGTTTTTTTATTTCATAAATTTCTTCATCAACAAATGTTGCTACAATTAAACGAAAATAAATAATTTTGCTAAAACATAATACAATAGGAAGTTTGTTCACATTTAGTCATTGAACTTTTTAGAGGGAAACAAACTTTCAATTTTGTTCACATTTAGTCACTAAACTTTTTTTTCGTTATCTATTTGCCACTAAACTATTGAAACTGTTCACATTTTACCCTTATGACCAGTAACAGCCGGTCATAAGGGTAAAATGTGAACAGTTTCAATAGTTCAATGGCAAATAGATAACGAAAAAAAGTTTAGTGACTAAATGTGACAAAAGTCAAAAATTCTTTACCCTTTCAAGTCATTATCCCTAATTGATATGCTATCCTTTAAACTTGAACTCGTTGTATCTTTGTCAAGCTTGCTATTGGCTTTTTTTTTTTCTATATATTTGTTTCCCAATAAAAAAAACTTTTCCAATGATCATAATTGATAAGATTTCTTAAAATCATCTACTGAAATACTATCAATGTTTTTATTTACATGAACAAAGCTTTAGACTTCGAGACTATATTTGCATCCAAATGGAAAAGAGGTTTTTACAAACTAATATTACTTCGTACTATAAAAAGAATATTTTAATTTATGTTCAAAGTTGGAAAAGTCAAATGGAACACTAATTTGTACTTGTTTACCCATTATATTTGTTTCTCTGTCAATATCAACGTGTCCTAATGGTTGGAACCTAAGTGGCTATGCTTATAAAACTATATAGATAAAAGCAAAATATTACATATTCTAAATAACATATTTAGTTTTGTTAGCTTTTTTGTTCATTAGTTGTTATATTTCATTTATGTAGCTCATAACTGTTTTTTTATATATCTTAATACTATAGGGGCATGATTTAATTATCTTGCCATTTGCATTGAAAACCAATGGACCGGTCCTAAGGAAACCCCTTAATATTTTTAGGATCCTTTGTATAAAACATTGAAAGGTGACTAATTCGACTATGCCTTTAGAAATTTTATTAAAAGTAAAGGGAAATACTACAAGTGCATGTTGATGGTGAGAAGTATCACTGAAAGCTAGTGAGAGTGAGAGAGTACATGTGTATATATGTAAAATCCACTTGGCTTCTATACATAAATAACATAATTAACTATATTAAAGACATGAAATCTTCTCCTATTCTTGTTTGACTAGGTATTTTAGAAATAATTCAACGTCTATTCTTGTTGACCACATGTTTGATTGACTTAGTCTTCATCAGGTGAGATTATCTTTTAATCATGCATAAAAATAATATAGAAGATACGACTGTAATTCAAAAATGTTGGTTGTTCACGATTTGGACCATCCAATATGAAGTAGAAGCGGAAAAATACCACCCATAACATATGCATGTGTATTGTGTTTAGATGCTTGTATCTTATATCTCATCCATTTTTTTTTTCATAAATTTGACTTTTTTTGTTTTTCTATAAATTTGATCCTCTTTTTACGTATTAATTTTTTTTTTTATATATTTTTAAAACTTTATTATTTTGGATAAGTAATTTTTATAACTGTTATATTTTCTTTACACCTTTGTCTTTTACGAATTTGATTTTAAAAAATTACTTTTTTACAACTTAATTTACATATTTATTTTTATGCGTTTTTTTTTATTTTACCATTTTTCCAAATTAGTGTTGCAGATGTTACAAAGTCGTTTTGATATTCATTTTTATGTATAGCTGGAAAAACATGTAATTCTCGTAATTTATATATTTTTATCACTATTATATATAATTAAATATAATCATACTTGAAATTATGTTATGCTTATTTTAAAAAGATAATTTTTTTTGCAAGATCAGCAGAATGGGACCTGAACATCGGAAAAATATAAGGAATAAAGTTACAAACACCTTGATTGAGAATAAAGGTTTAGGCCACACACTCACATAATGTTTTAACCATTTTTCTAAGAACATCCCCAATACATAAGTTTTTATAAAATCTTATTGTATTTGTCAACTATATTTTCTATTAACAAATTGATAATTTTTTTTACCATACTACATATAAATTCATTTAAGTCACTCTCAAGAGATAAAAAAAATCTTTATATGAGCAATTGCAACGATATTTACAAATGCTAATAGTGTACAATGTTACGGTCTTTTTTAATATGCCATTTTATAATAATTTAAAAAATGAGCAATTGTAGTCACTAACATAATTTATTGAAATGTTATGTTAACATTTTTAATATACATTGAACATAAATGTTTCGATGTCAATTAAAAATAAAATATTATTTAACTATTAGAAAATATTTCTAGCGGAATTAAAAAACTTTACTTTTTATGGTGTTTATTTTTATAATTGGTAGCAATAATCAATTATAATAGTGCAATTCATTAAAACATTTTATTTTTAATTGATAATAAGGTGTGAAACTATATATTATTTTTGTTTTTTATCCTATGTTAAACATATATTACAAAAAGAAAGAAAAACTGAAATAAAAATATTAAAAAAACTGATATTTAAAAAAAATAAAAACAATAAAAAGTTGGGCAAAAAAACACTGATATTTAAAATAAAATAAAAACAGTAAAAAAACTGAAAAATATAAGAAAATTGAGAAGAAGACTAATTGGTTAAGTATTTTTGAAACTGTATTATATTGGTAAATATTTTTTCCAATAACCCTATTTGGGTTAAAAACGCGTAATAATCGGCATTAAAAACTGATTTTAATATGAAAATATATCCATTTTATAGAGACTGAATTTTAGGCATTAAAAACTGATTTTAATATGAAAATATATCATTTTTAAAGTTCATTTAAATAGGGGGTAAAACCAAACTTCATTTCAGCGTTTCTTTACATTTTCGCCTAGCTTGAGTTTTCTGTAGTTTTTCATGTGGAAGAAAAACAAAGTCAACCTAAAATTGCTTCGACCCGGATAAACTTCCACGAAATCATGGAGACTGGGGAAGAGGATGGAATCCGTGTTTTGCCAGATTATTTGCTTGTTGAAATCCTCTCTCGTTTACCCTCTACAAAAGACGCCATTAGAACAGGTATACTCTCCAAGCGATGGAAACATCTTTGGACTTCGGTACATACTCTTATTTTTAAACATTCAGATGATCCCCTGACTCAATCTCGCCAAAACCCCAACTCTATGTCCGATTTCATTTCATTTGTGGAGAAAGCCCTAACTCAATGTCGCCAATTGAAGCTCAAAAAATTCGATGTGTATATCACTTATGATATACGATTTGACTCACACTTCAATAATTGGATTCGTTATGCTATAAGTCGTAGCGTTGAAGAGCTTAAGTTTAAGTTTTGGTACAGGGGATTGGAAGCTGAGTTTCTGTTAGATCAAATTTTTTTCATCAGTTCATGTTTTAGGGATCTAACATTAGAAGGCTGCATATTGAATCCAACTGGACCGATTATTTGGAAGAATCTTAGGAGTTTGTGTATTTTCAATGCGAAATTAGATGAAGACTTGATTGAAAATATGTTATCGGGGAGCCCTGTATTGGAAACTTTGGAGTTGGGTGTTTGCTATGGTTATAGGAAGATTGATATCACTTCAAAGAGTGTTAAGAACTTGGTTTTCTCTGGATACAGTGCTCCTGAGGATGGGTATTATCTTGATGATATTATTGAAATCAATGCTCCTAATATTTTATCACTAACAATCCGAAATGACTTGGTGTTGTGGAAGCTTTTGTTGCTAAATGTATCTTCTGTGGTCGAAGCTAACTTAGATTTTGAAAAGCTTGGGTATAGGGAGACAACGCTCGATGAAGCTGAAGAAGATATGCTTAAAGGCTTTATACTAAACCTTCACCATGTTAAGGACCTTAAAGTTGGAGGTTTCTGTTCTAATGTAAAATTCTTCTCCTTTTTGTAACAATCATATAATCATTAGCTTTTGTAGTACTTCTTGATTATCTTTTGATAAACTTGTTGATTTGAGTGTTTGATAGGTTCTCTCTCGTTTGGAGGTTAAAGGATTCACTTTTCCATCAAATATGAAGCTTCCGGATGTTACATCATCTTCATGTGTTGATAATGATTTGTTGGATCTTGATTCTTGGTGATTAGTTGAAAGCAGAGATTGGGTGGTGTTGATTGATGATGGTTGTCATAATCACAAAAAGCTAATTGTTGGAGTATGTCTCTGAAAGTTGTGTCACTTGCATGAGTTTGTTGTACATTGTTGTAATTGTAAAACCCTAAACCTTCTCTTGTAACATCACACACAAACGCCATATCAATATTGATTGTCGAAAGTCTCTTCCATTTAATTAAGTGAAATTTCTTCAATTTCCCATATTGATCATAATCTTCACTGTTTCACTTACATTATATGATTGCCACTCCACATATTTAAATCCACAATGTTTCTCTTTTATTTAGTTTCACTTGGATATTATCACATTTGCCCACAATAGCAACCTACTGTTGGGTTTTATTAATATTACCCACTTAACCCATAAAGTTCCATTTAATAGAACTAATTCATCATAAAAATAATTTGACATTTCTAAATACTGTAATTCCAACAATATAAGTCTGGATGCTATAGTACTGCATGATAACAAGGCCTCATTAGGAATGTTGAGGTGGGTGTGTGTGACTACATATAATAAGTATTATAAAAGGAATTGTATCAGCAAGAAGTTTTAAGGAGGTTGAAATCAACCAAGGTAGATATGAAGGAAATGTTAATCTCGATCAAACCTTCAATTAAAGCATTATGGTCTTTGGTTCAAAGGTTGCTATACCTTTAAAATGTCGATGTGTAAATATTATTTCAATGATATGTAATTAGACAGTGGCCGCTAAAATTTTTAGGGTGGACGTAGTGGAACGGCATGAGCCATAGGTCGGAGGCGGTACTGCTTGTACCGCCGGCTACTCCTGTGATACCGTCAATTGAAAGAGTATCCATGTTATGTAAATCATTGCTAGTCTCTCTCTCTCTCTCTCTCTCTCTCTCTCTCTCTCTCTCTCTCTCTCTCTCTTGTTGACCATTTGGCTGTCGGTAATATTTCAAATTTTTAATCATTTTTCCCAATAAATACAATATTCTACCACTTCAAAAATCAAATATTTTCTTTCATTCAATTCCAATTCTCTCTAATTTCCAATTCCATTTTCATTTTCTCCAATTCCAGTCTAATTTCATTTTAAATGGATTCTACTCCTAGCCAATCCAAAAGATGCAGACAATGGTCCGAATAGGAAGAAAGGCGTTGGTGAAAGCTTACTTTGACACTTTGGAAATAAAGACCGAAATTTTTGATGATGTTTTAAACGCAACAAAAACTAAGTATCATGAACGCCATATGAATAATTTTCCACAAGATGCGGCGTGTGATATTTTAAAAATCCACTTTTATTATTATTATTATTATTATTATTATTATTATTATTATTATTATTATTATTATTATTATCCTTGAGTTTAATTGTCATTTAGTCATTTTATTTACCATTTGTAGTATTAATGTTTTTTTTATTAAAAGGATATCTAATATTTATTTTTAAATTCTATCTTTTGAATTTCAAATTATAAAAAGCTTAATTTAAAAATAATAAATAAATAAATTAAGTAGGTTGGGAGAGATAAAATTTTCATGTGTTGAAGGATGGAAAGGTGATGAAACTCGTTTTGACATTTAGCACCCAATACACAAATTTTTTCATGTTTTAAGCATCAACAAGCTTGGTTCAAAATTCATTTATAGTTTAAAGCAATATCTCAAACTTTTTATCTAGACCCTTAAATAACCCATTAAACTTTTTGTATATAACCTCAATCAATTCATCAAACTTCTTCTTCTGCACATCAATCTTCAAGAATATGCTAGAAATATGAGCTTCATCAATAAGAGAGGAAGGTTTAAAAGATTACAATGAATTTGAGAAAGTTGTATTATAAGATTGATCTTTCTATTTAGTTTCTTGTACAGCGTTTTCATCTAGATCATCATCATTATCTTCAACATGTTGCATATCATCTTCTTTTTGCTCTCTCCTAATGCATTTTGTTAAAGGATCAACTATATTTTCCTTTGACTTTATGTAATTAATGAAATGATTCAATTCATTATAAAGTCTCTTATTTTATTGTGTATGCGCTTAATGTGTCTTGATTTGCAATTGTATATTTGATTTTGTGCTCTATTGAGAGTAGCCATACTATTATAATGTATACCGATTGCAATAACATGTTGAGGTCACAAAGAAGTACCTTCTAGGAAGCTTTTAAGCCATTCAACCTGTTCAACAACTTTGTCTAAAGGAAAAAACTCTGCTTCCATTGTAGAACGAGTATTAATAGTTTGCTTAGATGATTTCCAAGATATAGTAGCTCCACGAAGAGTGAACACATATCTACTTATGAATTTTGCCTCAGAAGTATTGGAAATCCAATTTGCATCACAATATACTTCGAGAATAAGAGAATATCTCGTGTAATGCAATCCAAAATCCATTGTATGCTTTAAATATCTAAGCACTCTTACTAATGCATACCAGTGATCTTTCTCAGTATGATGCGAGTAATGGCTCAATCTACTTACACGATATGCCAAGTCAGGTCTATTATAATTCATAATAAACATTAAGCTTCTAAGAACTTAAGTATATTCTAGCTAAGATACACTATCACCTTTATTCTTCTTAAGATGACTAGAAGGATCAAAGAGATGACTACTGAATTGTCATTATCGTGTCCAAATTTCTTTATTACACATTCAATATAATGAGACTGAGTAAGAGTATATCTATTAGGTGTTATTTGAACTCTTACACCAAGGATCACATATACTATTCCCAAGTCCTTCATGGAAAAGGAGTATATCATTCTCTTGGTTTGATTTATCACATCCAAGCAATTATCCATTATAAGCATATCATCTACATACAAGCATATGATGACAAACTCATTCTTGTATTATTTGACATAAACACATTTATCACATTCATTACTTCTAAATCCATTAGAAAGTAATGTGTTGTCGAACTTCTCATGCCATTGCTTTGGAGTATGTTTTAGTCCTTAAAATGATCTGAGCAACTTACAAAATTTGTTTTCTTGACCTTTAATCAAAACACCTTCAAGCTGATTAATATAAATCTCTTCATCTAGTTCACCATACAAGAAAGCAGTTTTCACATTCATTTGGTGTATTTCTAAATTATGAATGGCTACAATTTCTACCAATATATGAATTGATGTTATTCTTGTAATATGTAAATAGGTGTCAAAGAATTCTTGACCCTCCTTTTGACGATACCCTTTAGCTACTAAATGAGCTTTTTACTTCTCAATGGTACCATAAGGTCTAAAATTCTTCTTGATATCCATTTATGCTAAATTGGTTTTTTCCCATGTGGTAATTCTACCAATTTCCAAGTGTTATTCTACACAATATAGTCAATCTCACTTTTAATTGCCAGTTTTGAATAAGGGCTTCAGAAGAATCCATAACATCCTTATAAGTTTAGGGTTCTTTATTCACTATGTAGGTCATATAATCAGGTTCAAAATCTTTAGCTATTTTACCTTGTTTGCTTCTTCTAGGTTCTAAGTTCTTTTCTTAAACCTTAGAAGAACTCTATTCATTTGATTGTAAGCTTTTGTCATGAATGGTTTCATTCAGTCTATCATCTAGAGGTCTTTTCTTGGAGCAGGAAACCTCTTTCCCTTTATCCTTAAAAGGAAAAATATTTTCAAAGAATTCATCCTTTGCTGATTCCATGATGGTATGATTATTGATATCATCAACATGTGATTCATACACAAGAAATCTATAGGCTGCACTATTCATGACAGGGCCAAGATAGATGCAATATATGGTTTTTAGTCCAAGTTCAGTCCTCTTAGGAAGAGGTACTTGTACCTTAATAAGGAAAACCACACTTTCATCCTTTTGTAAGAGGGTAATGTCCCTTTCCACAGATGATGGGGTGATTTATCACTCTTTTTATTAGGAATTCTATTAAATATTGAATTTCTTGCAAGACATGCTTCTCCCCACATTTTATATGGTGATCCATAAGTAATTAACATTGAATTAATCATGTTTTTTAATGTTCTATTCTTCCTTTCAGCCACTCCATTTTGTTGAGGTGTTTATAGAGCAATTGTTTGATGTATAATATCATGTAAAGAACAAAATCCGAAAAACTCATTGGACTCATATTATCCTCATCGGTCTGACCTTAAAATTTTGATATTTTTGTCAAGTTTATTCTCAACTTCAGCCTTATAATTCTTAAAAGATTTTAAGGCTTAATCTTTGGTATCTAACAAATAAATATAGGAATAATTTTTGATATCATCTATATACGATATATAATAATTTTTTCCTCCTCTTGTAGGCGTTACTCTAAAATCACATAAATCAGACAGAGTGGATTCAGCTAAGAATTTCATTATATTTTTTGATTGATTTAGGAGGATGTTGTGATAATTTTGATGTTATGAAAATTTTGATTCTAAACAAACTTCACATTTCATATTTTTTTCTAAAGAGCATTTTGGTAACATGCCAAGTATTTCCATTCTTTCTATAGAACGAAAATTGACATGTTCCAATCGAGAATGCCATAAAATTGAAGGGTGATGCATAGACATAGAAGATGGGCTAGTAATGCCAATTACTGAATCAACATTATCATTGGTTACATCATCATTGTTTGGTGTTTCAACACCATAGTACACATGTAACGCACTGACTTTGAGGAGACGGTTAGTAAGGTATCCCTTTCCAACATACACCCCACCCTTGGTGAGAACAAACTTATTTTCTAAGAATGGGATCAGAAATTAGATTCTTAGTAATTTCAAGAACATGCAAGACATCACTTAGACCAAGTTCTTTATCAGAAGTCAGTTTCAGTTTCTACTTCATTTTTCCTTTTCCTTAAACTTTTGTAGTAGTATCATTCCCCATAAACATTGGTTCAGAGTCAAATAATTTTTGATATGTAGAGAACATGGTTTAAGAGTTGCAGATGTGCCTTGTGGATCCAATATTAATCCACCAATCCACATAATTACTAACCATATTGATTTGATTTGGGTGATAGTGGATCGACTGACGAAGAGTGCCCACTTTCTTTCCATCAGCGAGATATCTTCTGCAGAGAAATTGGCAGAGATGTATGTGAGGGAGATAGTGTCTCGGCATGGGGTACCGATTTCAATTGTGTTGGATCGGGATGTACGTTTTACTTCCATGTTCTAGAAGAAGTTTCATGAGGAGTTGGGTACGAGATTGCATTTCAGCACTTCCTATCACCCCCGGACCGATGGTCAGAGTGAGCAGACTATTCAAACTCTTGAGGATATGCTTCAAGCAT